GTAAGGTGATCTAGGATGGCTCGCTTCAGAATGCGTTCCATCACCTTGCACGGCACGCTAGTGAGGCTTATAGGCCTATAGCTGCCAGGCGATAGTCGGTCACCAGTTTTGTAGATTGGCGTGACAATCGCTTCTTTCCAAGCAGGGTGAGAAAACAGATTGACCTTAACCAGGGCAATTTATAAGATTAGGTGGGTGGTTGTTAGTTTGCACGCCTGAATTATGAATCCGAAGAAAGGGGGTGGACGTTGTACTCAAAGGATTGGGGCGTGGCTATCGTCCTGCGTTGATGTTTATTGAGGAATGAATAGCGCCGATTTTCGGTCCTACCTTTCGGCGTTCAGCCCCACCCAAACTTCCGAGATGGCCCACCCAGAGCTGTGACTGCCCTCACTGCCGGCGCCTTGCAGCACACGCCCGGACCTGTGGACATAATGAACCACATGAGTTCACTCAATTCTGGTGTGTTCCACTTTGCACTTTTGACTTTTTCGAGTACCCACCGGACACCTCCCAAACTAGACGGGCATGTCTGGGATAGGGAATGTAGAATACTGATTGACACAAGGGTATCATGTTGCCTGATTAATACTAAAAGTTTACCTTAGGTGCGGGTTCTTTCAGACACTGCCCTTTCAAGCTCATGGCTGCTAACCTTGCATCCGTCCAGTCTAGAGGTTGGTTAATGGTACCGCTAAGTCTGTGTCAGACTACGAGTCACCAGCCCATGCTAGTCGTTGATAACTCACCTTGTGATGTTAAACTTGGAGCAGACGTCCTGAGAAGTCAACAGGCGAAAATAGGCCCCCTAGTAGGTACCAGCGAATTCGAGGGGAACGAAATACCCATCGTCACGGCTGCTGTCTCCTCCGATGAGTGCGGTCCCGCCGTGTTGATCGACGCAAACTGCTGTTGCAATTGTCACATACAACGAGCTCGTCGGTGAAGGCGAAACTAGGAAGAGTCTTGTCGGAGTATACCGACGTTTTTGCTTGGAAAGATTCGGATGTTGGTCGGACGAAACACGCACAACATCGCATCAACGCTGGAGGTACTACACCCATCCGCCTACCACCACGACGTGTTCAGATTCAATAGCAACACCAGCTAAATCAAATGATGTGACATGCCGAACAAGTACATCATCAAAATTTCCGAGTCACGGGGCCTCGCCAGTAGTTCTGGTGAAGAAACGCTATGGTTCTATACGACTGTGTTGACTATCGCAATTAGAATGCCGTCACCCGAAAAAACTGTTTCCCAGTTACCCAAATTGATGATATCTTGGACGCCTTGGGAGGGGCAGCCTGGTTCAGCACACTGGACTTAGCTTATGGGTACTGGCAAGTAGAACTACAACCTTGTGACCGTTACAAGACCGATTTTGCGATCCCATCTTGCTTACATGAGTTTCAAACTATGCAATTTGGATTGACCAACGCCCCAGCCACGTTCCCGCTCCCAAAATACACAGTTCTAGATGGGCTGGTTCCAGATAAGTGTCCAGTTTACCTAGATGACATCATCGAACACAGCAGAATGGTATCGGGGCACAACGCTAATCTAAGACTTGTTTTAAACCGATGCAAAAAACTCGGACTGAAGCTGAAACCGTGGAAAAGTGTGCACTCTAACGGAAGTGAGCTACCTCGAACATGTAATATCAGCAAGTGAAATCCGGTGTGCTCCCGTCAAGATAGAACTCGGACTGAAGCTGAAACCGTGGAAACGTGTGCACTCTAATGGAAGTGAGCTACCTCGATCATGTAATCTCAGCAAGTGAAATCCGGTGTGATCCCCTCAAGATGGAAAAATTTAAGACATGGCCATCCCCAAAATCAGCTGATAAGATCCGAAGCTTCATGGAACTGGCTTAATATTATCGCCGCTTCGTAGCTGGATTCGCCGAGATCGCTCCTCCACTTACATCCTTCCTGCAAAAGAACACTCCCTCCGTTTGGTCCGAAGAACAAGCCAAGGCATTCAAACAGCTCCGCGACTGTTCCACACCTATTTTCACCCACCCGGATTTGTCGCCGTCTGCCGGCAACTTTATCCTCGACACGGACACAAGTGAGAACGCGATTGATGAGATGCTGTATCAGCGTTCATCTGACGCGAAGGAAAGAATAATCGCATATGCCAGCCGAAGTCTCTTACATCGAGAGAAGGGATACTGGAAGACGCGCATGGAAATGTGAGCGCTTGTGAACATCATGCAACTATTCCGCCACTATCTAATCGGTCGCGGATTTCTGGTCCGAACCGATCACAAATCGCTACTGTGGTTACAAAACTTCCGTGATCCAGAACGTCACATAGCCAGATGGCAGGGGTGCCTGCAGGAGCACTATATCGAGAGCCAGGATTGAGCGGGTAAACAACGCGGAAATGCAGATGCTTTGTCCCGCCGACCAATCCGCGATCATGGTGATAGTCCCTCGTGCTCAGTCTTTTGCATCTTATCGATGTCGTTGCACGCACCGGAAATTGAAGGGTAGTTCAATCTCGGTTCAGTCCTCGACCTCCGAGTTAAAACTCTTATATGAGCGACTTTCCGACAACCAATACCAGCCATCCAGCGATAAAATCGCACGTTCTAGCTACCGACGCATTGTCTTTGGGCTCTAGGAGCCTCAGCTGCGCGTGACCAAAAAGGTCTTACTGACTTGCGTCGTGTTGTGGTACCAAAACACTGTTGAAGCGACTTCATGAAGAATTAGGCCACGCAGGACGGAACAAACTGAAGAGCCAGCACGTCACCGATTCTGCTGGACACACATGCAGCGTGATACTGCTCTGTTCTGTCAATCGTGCACAGGGTGTGGTCAACTGAAGGACCGCAGACCAAGTGTACCAAGACCCTTGCAAACGATAAAGGCCGGGTTTTCAAAAGAACTGGTTGGTGTGGATAATATCGGACCGTTGCCTAGAATGAACCCAGGTAATATATATATCTTGGTGGCGGTCGATCATTTCACAAGTGGTACGAGGCTATTCCAATCCCAAACCTGGATGCCTGGACAGTTGCCGAAACGCTGTTCACCGAATGGGTTTCACGGATTCACGGATCGACACACAGGATCGAGGATTTAGCCCAAGCTTTCCGGGACGATTTTGTTCTTGTCGCTCAGCGCCTGTCATTCGCTTGAAAGGTACAAGTGAAAAAAGAGTGTAGCACTTCTCTTTATATTCTCAGCGTGGGGCAATATGCCTACAAGCTCAAGGAACCACATAAATAAATGTCTAGTAGTGCCTTGAAATGGGTTCTAGGAGCGTGGGCAACCGTCAGACGAAGGTCATCCCATACAGCTACTACCCGAAATGAGAAAAAAATTTGCCCAATGAATGTGTGCGCTCTGAGCTTGAAAATCTTACCATGTCCTCGCCGTGTATTCGCTGGTTGATCAGTGATGAAAAACCTGTCTGACAAACCTTTTTAAAACAGGGCATTGGTAAGAATTAGGTCCCCTCTGAGGCGACATATCCCAAGGGGAAGTAGTTAATCACCGCGAGACACGTTTCGTAGTTCATGGATTTGAGGCCAGCAACCATTCTCGTAGCGGCTTGCTGGGTGACGCTCAATGAGGGTGACGTCTTTCGTGCGCCCTGAGTAGACGACTTGGTTGGCGTACTCCAGGAGCGGTCTGACGTAGGCCCCATAGAATATTTGGAAGTCCATGTGAGCGATACGGGAGAAGGTGCGTCGGATCATCCGTAAAATGAAGAATGCCTTTTGGGCCCATTTCTCGTGGTGCAGTGAGAGAGACAAGTTCGAGGAGGCCCTGATACCCTAATCCTTTTTGACGCCAATCCTCATAGTGTTTTCTGGTCCTTTCTTGCCATGTATGACAAAGGCATTCGGCGAGTCTCTTCCAAACGACATATGCACACGCGTTGGGGTGTACCCTACCAAATACATACTGACCGACGCTCCAACTTCGAAATCATCTTGTTCAAAGATTTGTTCCACATATTGGATTCAAAAAAGGCCCGCGCTACAGAGTGCCACCCAGAGGGCAATGGCATGGTGGAGCTCACAAATAGAACTTTGAAAAGGTTGCTGATAGCCTCTATCAAACATGAGATATTTGAACAGTGGTATGTTTCACTAGTGCGTTGTCTGCTGGTTTCTTGTGCAACAACGTCTATTGGATAGACTCCATCTTTTGTAAAAAACAGGCCGGTAGACGTGACCAACTTCCGATACAATTCTACCCACA